AATTTGAATAGTATTTCTTTCTGAGCTTTAAATTCTAAATATCTGGTGAAAAGGTAACATTATCCGACTTAATAAAAATCTAATTAAATATAGATTTTACTAACAACATAATTTTTTTCGAGTTTTGATCTTAGTCAAGAAACTATTTCTTCCTTTACCTCTCCTCTAACAGGTCTTAAATTTTGTGTGTTTTTTAAAACTGGCTACATACCATTGGGAACAATACTGTGATGGACTAGTATCCCATCCTAGGAGGGGTGGGGGAAGTTGGGCTGGGAATAGTTCTTGGCAATTCACAGTATTCAAACCAAGATGAGCTCTTACTGTGTGGGCTTCAATGGCTTGTTTCAACCCTTTAAGCACCAGTATCTACATACAAATTCTCCAGACTGATCTCAATGCATTCCTTAACCCTTGAAGCCCTAAGAGTGATCAGCGTCAAATTTCTCCTTGTAGTATCACTTCTTTATAAAACACAGTGGTCATGAGAATTGAGGACCTGATCACACAAAATGAATCTAATTGATACTTCAACAAATTCTCTCCACTACTTCTATTGAAAACAAATAGGGACAACAAATGAGAAGTCGAATTTTGATATTAGGGTTTAAAGGATTAAAAGAATTACATGTAGTTAAGAGAGTTTGATTAACGATTAAAGCATTTTCACTAAGTGATCATTTTATTAATTTCATATCACTAAATGGGCAGTTTAAATACATGTACAGTATTTCACACCTCTTAGTGTGGTACAGGTGCACTGTGCTGTTGAGACACTCTGAGTAACTTGCGTCATCTTTGACCCTAATAACATTCCAACGGGCAAGGCAAAACGAAAAGAGAAATTTTAGCGGGACTACGTAAGAGAGAATGTATGAGAACTGCTAAAATTGAACCTGATCTCAGGTTAGCTTTTTAATAAACCCTTTAATAAATTTGTGCCACTCTTTTTTTAGGAATTGTCATCCTTTCCTAGCACAGCCTCTACATCACAGGAAGACCATGAAAGCATATCAAGATCCACTTCCTCCAGGAAATTGAGAGTAACTCTGTTAAGCAGTGAATGGAGATCAACAAAAGGAGGCTTGTCAACCATCAACCGAGAGCTGGCCATTCAGTTGGCAGTGTGACGGTGCCTGGTGGTTGCCGCTCACAGGGTTGTCATGGTTACCCTACGCGCTCGGCTCCGGTGCTCGAGGCCCCACCATCTTTCCAGGCACCTTCACCAAGCTCATCTATTGTTGATGAGTTTAAATAACTGGATCTCGTCAAGACATCAGGACTAATTTCAGTTGTGTACGTAATAGATCTACACTGTTTACTTGCTTTTCAGGACACTTTTTCAAAATATGCACAAACGTACTTGTCACTTGTTAAAGTTTTCATACTAAAGATCAACTTCACTACAATATCGTTCAAAAGTAATACTAAATTCTCAGTGATTCTTACAGTGGGTTAAATAAAGAGGGAATCCACCAGGAAATTGAGTAATTTTAATTTTTAGTGGACAAAAATCCTGCACCAGAATGTTTAAGGCATATCGCATTCTTTTTTACATTTTTCAAGGGGTAGAGATGTAATTAGTCTTCTGTATTAACACCAAAGAAAATTTCTCATGGGAGCCTGAGAAAATAAATAATTATGTCAAATTTCACAAAATTACATCTTACACATTAAATTTCCAGAATTTTTCCTGTGTTTTCACAATTCTTGTGAAATTTGACATTCATTTTCTTGGAATCCCATGAGAAATTCTCTTTGGTGTTATTACGGATGACCACTTACATCTTTAGCTCTTGAAAAATGTAAAAACAATGCAATATTGTTAAGAGCAGCTCCACGTAATTATCAACTTAAGACGAGGAAATAGTCAAAATATGACCTGGCCTCAAAAATGGCCAGAATAAAGCCTTATGTGCCCTAGTTACAAAATCATTGGTTTAAGTACGATCGAGTGAATAATAATTTTTTAATGAATTTTTTTCTTCCCGAGGCCTTTTAAAAATTATTCTGCAGGTACAAGCTTTTTGTCCACTGAGAATTAAAATTACTCAGTTTCCTGGTGGATTCCTTCTTAAACATTCCTTTTGTACGTTACCAAGCACAAATTTTAAGACAGTATTTTGAGTATTGTGAGTATTTTTTCTGTCTTTTTGTGTTTTCTCCTTTTATTTAACAGGCATGATCTGTAACATGTAAAAGTAGATGAAACGTGATCTATGATGTAGAAAACAACAGAATGACTAGTGTCATGATCTCAAAAGATTGTGTGCATTATCAGGAATTACAGAAAAATACATAGGTTTTTCAAAAATATAATAATTTCGTCAAAGGGATAGCACAGATGTAAGCAAAAAAAATGGTAAAGAAAAAATTTGAATAGTATTTCTTTCTGAGCTTTAAATTCTAAATATCTGGTGAAAAGGTAACATTATCCGACTTAATAAAAATCTAATTAAATATAGATTTTACTAACAACATAATTTTTTTCGAGTTTTGATCTTAGTCAAGAAACTATTTCTTCCTTTACCTCTCCTCTAACAGGTCTTAAATTTTGTGTGTTTTTTAAAACTGGCTACATACCATTGGGAACAATACTGTGATGGACTAGTATCCCATCCTAGGAGGGGTGGGGGAAGTTGGGCTGGGAATAGTTCTTGGCAATTCACAGTATTCAAACCAAGATGAGCTCTTACTGTGTGGGCTTCAATGGCTTGTTTCAACCCTTTAAGCACCAGTATCTACATACAAATTCTCCAGACTGATCTCAATGCATTCCTTAACCCTTGAAGCCCTAAGAGTGATCAGCGTCAAATTTCTCCTTGTAGTATCACTTCTTTATAAAACACAGTGGTCATGAGAATTGAGGACCTGATCACACAAAATGAATCTAATTGATACTTCAACAAATTCTCTCCACTACTTCTATTGAAAACAAATAGGGACAACAAATGAGAAGTCGAATTTTGATATTAGGGTTTAAAGGATTAAAAGAATTACATGTAGTTAAGAGAGTTTGATTAACGATTAAAGCATTTTCACTAAGTGATCATTTTATTAATTTCATATCACTAAATGGGCAGTTTAAATACATGTACAGTATTTCACACCTCTTAGTGTGGTACAGGTGCACTGTGCTGTTGAGACACTCTGAGTAACTTGCGTCATCTTTGACCCTAATAACATTCCAACGGGCAAGGCAAAACGAAAAGAGAAATTTTAGCGGGACTACGTAAGAGAGAATGTATGAGAACTGCTAAAATTGAACCTGATCTCAGGTTAGCTTTTTAATAAACCCTTTAATAAATTTGTGCCACTCTTTTTTTAGGAATTGTCATCCTTTCCTAGCACAGCCTCTACATCACAGGAAGACCATGAAAGCATATCAAGATCCACTTCCTCCAGGAAATTGAGAGTAACTCTGTTAAGCAGTGAATGGAGATCAACAAAAGGAGGCTTGTCAACCATCAACCGAGAGCTGGCCATTCAGTTGGCAAAACACCCCAGCGTGGAGGTTTTTTTTTTTTCTCCCTCAGTGTAGTGAAGAGGATAAACAAGTTGCTTCAAGTCACAATGTACAGCTTATTGAAGCAGATGAAATGGCAGGTTATGACCCTGTTGACTGGTTGTCCTTTCTTCCTGAAAGCCATTCTGTGGACTGTGTTATAGGAAATGGAGCTGTTCTTGGTCGGCAAGTGCAGGGTATAAAACGACATCATCATTGTAAGTGGATTCAGGTCGTTCATACAGCTCCTGAAGAGCTTGGTATGCACAAGTCCTACGCAGATGCCATTTCAAGAGGCGAGAAAAAGCGCCAGGCTGAGGTAAAACTCTGTGAAAAAGCTGATCAAGTTGTAGCGGTTGGTCCCAAGCTGGCTGAAGCTTTCTCAGATTATCTCCGTGCACGTGGAAAGGATCAAGATGTTCTTAATCTTACCCCAGGCATCTTCTCAGAATTTGCTAATGTAAAGCAAGCCTCTGAAGAAAGAAAAACATTCAGTGTTTTAGTGTTTGGACGCGGTGACAATGAAGACTTTCAGCTGAAAGGATATGACATCGCTGCTCGTGCTATTGCTGAGTTGAAAGACGAGCCACAGCCCTATAAGCTCTTGTTTGTTGGAGCTCCAAGTGGAGAAGAGGAGAAAGTGAAAGATTTGTTACTCCAGCAAGGCATTGATCGAAGTCAACTAACTGTGCGTTGTTTCAATGAAAGTAGAGAGCAGTTAGCCCGTTTGTTTTGTGAAGTAGATCTTGCTATAATGCCATCACGAACTGAGGGCTTTGGTCTTGCCACCCTTGAGGCTTTATCTGCTGGTCTTCCTGTGTTGGTCAGTGGGAACTCTGGTCTTGGTGAAGCCTTACAGGAAGTTCTGAACGGTTCAAATTGTGTGGTGGAATCAGAAGATCCTAAAGATTGGGCCAATGCAATCAAAGCTGTTCGGAAGAAAAGAAGGAAGCTGCGACTGAGAGAGGCCACGGTTCTTCAAGGAGAGTATGCCGAGATATACAGCTGGCAGGATCACTGTAATAGACTTGTGGAACGAATGCTTGCCATTTCTCGAGGTAACAGGTTCACTTTTTACTTCAATTGGTCTTGGTATTGACCTAATCTGCTGGCATTAGGAAATGTACATATGTAAGTTCACGCTATTACAATGACAACATTAGTGAAAACTTCACAATGACAAATTTGTCTCTCTCTTTTTTATTTAAAGTCCATTAGGGAAGTCTGCCTTCATTTGCCAATTTCAGAGAGTTTCAAAATCGCGATTTCTTTTAACATCTTGTTCCCGTCCCTGAGGGTCAAAAGTAAAGAATTATTGTATTGCTACATTGGTGTACTCTTTTTGTAGGTCCCACTGCAGATGAGCAGGATTTATCTATGAAAGCCACTGTGATCTGTCATGATGAAAAGCCCTCTCCTTCTGAAAAACGTCTTCATAAAGGTACACTTGAATATTAGAAACATGTGCAATATGTCCATTGGAGCAATTCATTGTTTTATATGTAGGAAGGTCTGGGACATGTACTTTAATTTGGGCTTAATGATTATTCCTTGTGGGGATGTTAAATAAAAAAGAAATGGTCGAAGCATCGAACAAGACTCGTTTAAGACTGACTTACAAGGTCAAGACGTTTTCAAACTGGTTACGGGTGGTTACAGTGTAGCTTAATGGACCAGAGCAAAAGGAAATGGCGTTTTAAGACTTTTAACATATACACTGTAGGCTTGGTCGTTTTGTATGGGTTATTCTGAGTGAAATTTTCACCTTGGGACTTAGACATGCAGGCCATTGCCGCAGTGTATAGATTATCAACTGGCATTTGATCGCCCTAGTGAGGTAATCAGGATTCCAGAATCCGGGAAACTTTTGCTGATGGATTCTGGAATCCAGGAAACTTTTTCTTTTGGAATCCGGAATCCTGGGCTTTGGAATCCGGAATCCAACTCAAGGAATCTGGAATCTCGCTAATGATTGTAATCCGAAATCCAAGTTCCGCTGACAAGGAATCCGGAGTCCAATACCTGAAATCCAGAATCTAAGACTGTTTTGGCGGCCAAATTGACCTGCTCTGTGTCTTCCCATAAGCTCCCCCCCTCCCCGCTTTTCTGGGGAAGAAAGTTAATATGCCCCCTTTTCTATTAAGCCCCCCTCCTCTCCCTTAATTATTCTTCACTAATAAACGATAGACTTTATTAATCAATTACCACTTTAAAACTTCGTATAGACTGATAGCCCCGGTAGTCTGTTAAGCCTACGAGAAACCGCTTTCTGAAAAATGTCTCCAGCGCGATACATGTGAATTCCCTATTTGACAAAAAAAAAACATACAAACACAGGTTTTGTATGGAATTAGCTGGGGTGTGTATGGGCAAAAATAATTGGATCATCACTAGTCTGGTTTAATTTCAGGCTCAAAAAAGGGGAAAAGGCCTTTGTCTCCAAGTAGCACTCCAGCATCAAAAGTCCCAAAATGTTTGGGAGGTGAAGGTAAAGTTTGTTTATGCATGATAAAGTTTATAACCGTCTCATTACTGAAAGCAACATTGGAAGTAAAAGATCTGCGTGGGCGAACTTCTGTTCTTAACACATTTTGTACCCTCTGCCACACCACTTCCCCCTCCTGCTTTAGAGATAGATACTCAAGATGCTGGAGTCACCCTCACCCGTTCAGTAGCAAAACTTAAACTTCTCGAGTTTGACGCATGCTCTTTCTATATCGAGCGTGCTTCATATTCTACTGATATGAGTACAGAATTTTTGGTCGCATTTTGGCACATTTTGTCAAACTGTAGTCAAGTCCTGTTCTTGTCTCAATTTCTTGCGAGATTGTTTATGGGTAAGGGTTTCGTGCTTAATGATTTATTTGTGCGAAGGTAGTGTGGCGAAACACAATGATGCTTTTCTGGTTTGATTGTTACTTTCAAGTGATTTTACGTCGTAAATAGGCCTCAGGAATTCTGAAGCTGAACTACATTAACTCTTTCACCCCTAGACTGAGTTATGGCGAGATAATTTGTCATTCTAAGTTTTGCATCTGTGAAAGAAACTCTGTGGTGTTACCATTTAAATGAATCCTAAAGCGAGTTCAGAAAGACGAAGAAACATGTCTGAAGTCCCCAGGATGGAAGTTGGCCAAAGATGACCATACAGGAGTTCTCAAGTGTGAAGGCAGAATTAAAAGATTAAAGGCCGATTTACCTTCCTGGTGGTTTACCTGCGGAGAGGCTTATCTCTCACATCCACAATCAGGTCATGCATCTTGGTGTCGCAAACACGATGGCGAGTGTGAGAGAAAACTGGTGGATACCAAAGTTGAGAGCGAAAGTCAAGAAGGTCATTAAGAACTGCAACATCTGCAAAGTATACTCCACCAAACCTTATGGATTGCCGTCAATTAGTGCTTTGCCAGAATATAGAACGGAGGGGAGCAGACCGTTTGAAGTAACCGGGGTGGACTTTGCCAGACCCTTCCTGTACGAGGTCGGTAAGAAAGAAGAAGGAAAGTGCTATGTCATTATTTTCACCTGTACCTGCTCCAGAGCGATCCATTTGGAAGTTGCAAGAACCCAAACGGCAGANGCAACATCTGCAAAGTATACTCCACCAAACCTTATGGATTGCCGTCAATTAGTGCTTTGCCAGAATATAGAACGGAGGGGAGCAGACCGTTTGAAGTAACCGGGGTGGACTTTGCCAGACCCTTCCTGTACGAGGTCGGTAAGAAAGAAGAAGGAAAGTGCTATGTCATTATTTTCACCTGTGCCTGCTCCAGAGCGATCCATTTGGAAGTTGCAAGAACCCAAACGGCAGATGAATTCAAGAGTAAGCTGAATGCCTTTATCTCGCGACGGACAAGACCTCGCATCATCATCTCGGATAATGCCAAAGTGTTTAAGGCTACGGCAGATTGGATCAAGGCAGTGAGAAAAAGTGAGAAGTTGCAGAATTACTTAGCGCGTGAGAATATCCGTTGGCAGTTTAATCTTGCAAAGTCACCCTGGTGGGGAGGAATCTATGAGAGATTGATTAAGGAGATAAAAAAGACCTTGCACAAGACCTTGGGGAGGTCACATCTTTCCTATGAAGCATTTGAATCAGTCATCATGGACATCGAAAGAAATTTGCCAGTGAATAATCGCCCCTTGACATGTGTTGAAGCATATGAAGAGGAGGTGCTTACACCGAACATGATCCTGTGGGGAGATGTGTATGCTGTAGAAGACACTGAAAGCTCAGATGCAGAGAAGCTGACAAGTATGGCCAAACGATTGGAAAATGCTAAGGCCAATGCATGGAAACGCTGGAAAAGGGAGTATGTCCACAGCCTAATTGAAAGTCACAGGCTTAACAGGGAAACGGGAACCATACCTCAAGTGGGAGAAATTGTACTCATCATTGGAGACGAAAGAACCGCGGAGAATGGAGAAAGGGTAGAGTGGTGCGTCTTATCAAAGGCAAAGATGACGTCGTTAGAGGGGTAACATTGTTATACAAAAGGCACACTATTGACCAACCGCTTCAGTTAGTTTGTCCCATGAAAATCAGAGCGGCGAGCTGATGTAGGAGAACAGAGACCAAGACGAGCTGCAGCTCAGATGGCTGCTCAGAGAATCGCAGAACAATTGCAAGAAGAAGAGAACTGATAAACTGAACTGTGTTTGAGTATAAATCGGACTGTCATATAGCAAATCGGATTAGTTTCAAGTTACGGTTGATTGTAAACATTGCGAGCTACAATTTTTAGGGCAGTTGTGTAAGAGAGATTGACCGACACTACCCCTCACAGTTTTTTGTGTCCTTTAGTAGGACTATTAAATTAGGTCTAGGACTACTAAATAAGGCAATGAACACGTGCGAGAAAGATAGAACTGGACGAGACGAAAAAGAGAGCGAGCTTTCCTTGTGGAGTTTTTCATCGAGTATTGTGATATATTGTGAGTTCTTTCGGACAGAATAAAAACCAGGAAACCGTGTTATCGTGAGTTGTTACTGTGAATTCTATGGGCTGTTTCATTGTTCAGCTCAGTTGGTTTTAGTTTTTGCAATCGATCGCCCGCTACATCCACACACACAAGTGCGTAGGTTGGAGGCTTATTTAAAAAAACAAATTCCTAAAAATTTTACAAGTAGGAAAAAATATAAATACTTTATTTGGTGGTCCGCCGGGGAGGATTCAGATGAAGAAATATCCTAGATAGGTCCTGGTAAACGGCTTTTGTCTCTCAAAATTCCCCCACTATCTCGTACACAGATGTTTCTAAATGTAATTTAGACGAGGTTAAACACGAGACAATGCTGGCCAGCGGTCTCCACCACTAATCGTATGTGGGGCGGTCTTGGGGTTTAGCAGGGCCTTAGTGATTTTACAGCGATTTTGCAGAAGTCAATCGTTTTGCTCACGTTGCCTTTGCGTGCAGGAGTTCTAGTTGTGTTTTGCCCCCAACCCTCCCTCCTGTCTGGATGCTTTTCTTGCTAAGTATCTGCGCCTTTTTCCACTGAGATTCTCAGTGTGATGGTGCCTGGTGGGTGCCGCTCACAGGGTTGTCATGTTTATCTTCGAGGCTTGCTTGCGGCCCCTTTCTGTTTCATCAGGCACCTTCCCCACACCCATCTATTGTTGATGGGTTTAAATTGGATTTGTATGCGCGAGCCAACTTGCGCAGGAGGTCATCACCTTGTCGATATTTGGCAGGCACACTGTCCCTCTCCGTTCTCTCTCCATTCTCCCACTCGTTCTCTAAGGGACAGTGAAGCCTGCGAAGGAGGCTAGTATGGCAAGCCGTTTGTAGCAGTCAAGTCAAAAATTTATACAATCCAATCATTTTAACATAATAAATTTTAGAATAAAAAAAGCATTTAATTTAATCCTTAAAAAATTCATTCAATCCCATCACCGAAATATTTATTCAATCCAATCACTGAAATATTTATTCGATCCAAAAACGGAAACATATGTTTAATCCATTCATGGACATATTTATTCAATCCATTCGAGAACACGTTCAATCCTCCAGGCGTTTCATTTAATCCTCCTGGGGCGAGCGCGGCCAACCCGAGTCGTNCAGGAGGTCATCACCTTGTCGATATTTGGCAGGCACACTGTCCCTCTCCGTTCTCTCTCCATTCTCCCACTCGTTCTCTAAGGGACAGTGAAGCCTGCGAAGGAGGCTAGTATGGCAAGCCGTTTGTAGCAGTCAAGTCAAAAATTTATACAATCCAATCATTTTAACATAATAAATTTTAGAATAAAAAAAGCATTTAATTTAATCCTTAAAAAATTCATTCAATCCCATCACCGAAATATTTATTCAATCCAATCACTGAAATATTTATTCGATCCAAAAACGGAAACATATGTTTAATCCATTCATGGACATATTTATTCAATCCATTCGAGAACACGTTCAATCCTCCAGGCGTTTCATTTAATCCTCCTGGGGCGAGCGCGGCCAACCCGAGTCGTAACATATATGGCTTCATCTTTTTTTTTTAACGTTTCCCCTTTTTTGCCTTGCTGGAAAGGGAGGGGGAGGGGAGTAGAAAATGTTGCAATCTGCCTTGTACTTTTCCTATATGCATCTATAAAGTAAATTCATATTTGGGTCGTACTCTTTACTTATTAATCAGGCTGGTGATATTCATATTGTTTTTCATAGAGAGTGCGTCTGAAACGTCGGCCACTGATCCTCCTCAAGTCATTGCTCGTCAGATAAGGAATAGAGATCTTCCTGCAAAGTCAAAGCCTTTTGGTGATCGCCAAATCCAAGTCGACATTTTGTTACTGACGGTGATGAAGGAAGATCCCTGCGAGGATTGTGAATTTCTAAGCTGTCTTGCATATCTGAATCCTGATTTCTGTAAGATTTATCACCCAGATCTTGGCTACGTGTACCTCGGAGACATGGGAGAAGATGACTTGAAACTAAACGTTGCTGTTATGAAGTGCTACGAGGGTTCCAGCTCTACGGGAGGTTCTATAGTTGTTGTAATTAACGCTGTCAAAGTCTTGAAGCCGAAAGCAGTGTTTTGTGTGGGTTCTTGCAGTGGCCTAAATGTCACCAAAGTTAGTCTTGGCGACGTAGTAGTTTTGAAGAAGTTAGTAACATACGCTTTTTCAAAAGTTACGGAGAATGGTATTGAAGAACTTGGAGTCAAAGTTCCATTAAAGCCTCGTCTTTCGACATTGATTCTAAGTGCTGGCGAAGGTTGGAAGCCACCTTTGAAAGATCCAGGAACACTCGAGGTAAGGATACATCGCGGCACGTTTCTGAGTGGACCAGAAGTGATAAATAACCAGAAGCGGTGTAACGCACTCATCGAACGATTTCCAGAAGCAGTTGCTATAGAACGACAAGGTGAAGGTAAGTTTCTTGGCCAGTTGCTGTGTTAACAGAGTGTTCATGAATTCAATTCAATTCTATTGTAATAGAACATTATTTTAGGGGAGACCTCTCCGAATCAGATTTAAATAGGAATCCACAAGATTATAAACTGACGTTTTCATTACACAGTTATCGCCAGATTGAACTCGGCGTTTGTTTGAGTTTGCAGTTTTTGAGCGCCTGTTGGTTTTAAGAAAGACGGAGTTGTTTTTTATTCCTTTTCTTGTCAGCTGGCTATTTTGCCTCTATATCTTAGGTTATTGTATGCCACACAAAAAGGTCATTGCCCTCTGCATATCGATGCTTTAAAATCAAGTTGAAAGTGATAATTATCAAGTCTTGTTGACTGTCTCTGTCCTTGATCTGGTTCTTTCCACCGGCGTCTGTATTAGTCAACTATTAACTCCACTTCTCTTACTCTTCATTTCCCACAAATCTCCTTTTCAGGTGTGTATGCAGCAGCGCATAACCTGGATATTGAGTGGGTAGTTATTAAAGGAATTTCAGGCTACGCTGATGGGAGAAAAGTTAAGGATTCGTGGAGAGCATTCGCAAGTTTTATGGCAGCTTCTCTAACGGCTCACATTCTCAGCGACACTATTGCTTTTCAAGCCTTACCACACTATGGGAGTGCAAGTGAGTATTGGACATTCAGGAAACGTTCGTGTTGAATTTTCCCATGCCATCTCCTATTCTTTTCTTGGGCTCAGTTGTGGTTTTGCTCCTCTCATAATCTAACCAGTAAATTTTTTGAAAAGTTTTTACCAACCAATCAAAATTTTGCTTTGCAGTTCAAAGAGTAATTTTCGGTAAACTGGATGATAAATGGCTCTGTATCAATTTAACTAGCTAATCCTTTGAAAAGGGTGAAGTGATGTAGCAGCGTTTTTTGGCCTTGTTACAGTGAAACCCTAACCTTAAGACCTCCTCGTCTATATGACCGCGTTGTTGTTACGACCACTTTAGAGACCTTAAGATCGAGGTTTGGCCAACTTTCCGCAAACGACAAACTGCACTTTGCGGTTAGCGGTTTCACGTCAACGGTCTGCCCATATTGGTTAGCATTAGATCCCATCGGCCTAAACCCCTTGTACAAGATATGTAAAAGGTGTTTGACTTGTAACACCCAACACTGTTCAGGGGAGGAGGGAGGTCAACTTGAATTACATTTTCCTCACCTGAAACACAAAGTGTCCCAAACGTTTTGACCAGGATTGTACGCGCTACAAAGCTATCTTCTTACTTAAAAGAAAAGTAAATATAGAGCTTTTTTCCTTATTACGTTATACCAGATGGCATAATTGCTATACAGAACAGAAACATTCAAAACCACTCAAACCTTAGAGATATACGTTCGTGTGTAGTAAAAAATAGTCATTACGCCTTTTATTAAGGTGTTTCAATACAGTTTTTCAAAGGCCATACCGATATTTTTCAATCGCCTTAAAAGTAGTTTTTACCTTGTCCGATCGCTATAAAATTTTCACCAGTTATTGGCTATGGATTGAAATTTGTGAAAATGTAGTTTTAAGTAAAATCGATATTACTATGACAACAATAAACAAAAAACTTTGAAATTGATAAAAGCCGAATTTTGTGTGATCTAGACCTGCTACTGAAAATCCAACACTAGGACTTTAAAGTTTGGTGTTTAGCAAACAATCTCCGTAAGAAGTAAAAAATTGTGTATGTTTGAATTCGAATAAAACGAAAATATATTTCAAGCCTTAAATTTTCAATAGCC